ATATCTTGGCTCATGAATCCATGACGATCCATATGTGTTTCGGGCCACATGCTTGAGCCATTCATTTATCATATGGCAGAGTTACACAACATAACCAAGTCGACACAATGAGTATGCAGCAATCCCCCTAAATACTAATTGGGCAATCCCCCTAAATACTAATATCTAGATTTTCAATTCACTCAATCGGACCTGGGGAGAGTTTAAAGAGCTCCATCACATCTCCCCGGAAAGCACGATGCTCACATTCCTGTGACAGATAGAAAATAGTTTGGCCGGCTGCTCCACAATCACATTCAGGTCCTGGTATTTTGCCCCATTTAAACAACAGGTCTGCACAACTGCCAGAGCCTGTTTGTATCCTATTAGTCGTCTTCCATACTTTGTGTGGCAAGTCAAATCCTGCAGGCCTTCTCATTGGTGTTTATCAGGTTATGGATATCAGGTGGAACTGATTGCATCCATGTTTGCAGCCATTCATTCCCTATACTGAAATTTTGCCATGGCAGGATTTGTGCAGATCTTATTGCTGGGTCTCAGGATCTTAGTCTGGATTGGCCCGTGCCAGCCATGTCTTTGTGGATGGGCAACTCTCTATTTTCGATTATCTTTCTATACTCACAAAGAAGAGCATCTTGTCTTTGGAGATGTGGGGGAGCGATGTGGCACAACGTGGGTAGCCAATAAGTCAGAGTGGGTTTCATACATCTGCTGATGGTTCTCATTGTTGTACTGAGTTGGACTTTGAGTTTGTGGACATGGGGGCTATTGAGCCACAATGAAGCATCCTATTCCGCAGTACTACACACCAACCCCAAAGCTGAGCATCTAAGTGTTGTAACAGACGCACCCAAAAGTTGTACCACATCATTTTGGAGAACGTTGTTTTGCGTGTGTATTTTCGCTGCTACATTGGTACGATGGTGTTTATAGCTCAAGGTCCTGTCCAGGGAAATGCCAAGGTACTTAGGCGTGTGTTTGTGTGTAAGTCAGGTGCCATTAGGGTAGACATTCAGTTCATGGTTGGCAAGATTGTTATTGAGATGGAAACAGGAACATTCTCTTTTTCCTGGATTTTGGATAAGCTGCCATTTATGGTAGTAGATCAAGAAAGGTAGCCGTGTTAGTCTGCCTGTAGCAGTAGAAAGGAGCTGCGGTGGCTCAAGTGGTTAAGACGCTGAACTGCAGGCTGTGGAAGGTCAGTAGTTCAGCAGTTCGAGACCCGAGGGTGCCGCATGACGGAGTGAGCTCCCGTCTCTAGTTCCAGCTCCTGCCAACCTAGCAGTTCGAAAGCAAGAAATTGCAAGTAGATAAATAGGTACCACTTCGGTGGAAAAGTAACAGCGTTCCGTGCGCCTTGGTATTTAGTCATGCCGGCCACATGACCACAGAAACGTCTTCGGACAGCGCTGGCTCTTCGACTTTGAAACGGAGATGAGCACCGCAACCCTAGAGTCGGATTCGACTGGCTTTCGAGCAAGGGAACCTTTACCTTTAGCAGTAGAAAAGAGCAAGAGTCCAGTAGCACCTGAAAGACTAAACAAGATTTGTGGCAGTGGAAATGCCTTTGGGAGATACCTGAAGAAGTGAGCAGTGACTCATGAAAATGCATACCTTGCCACATATTTTGTTAGTCTTTTAGGCGCTACTGGACTCTTGCTCTTTTCTATTTATGGTAGTAGTCAGCCCAAATGTCGAGGTCCCTAGTCAGTATTTCCTCAGTCCTTTCAATTGATTTGTGCCTTACTGCAATCACCATGTCATTGGGATAAGCAAACTTCCTGGATATCATCTCGGGAACATTAGAGATGTATAGATTGAAAAGAACTGGAGTGAGGACCGAGCCCTGTGGTAGACAGTTACTCAGTTTCTTCTGCAGTGCTTCCTGACTGTTGTTGTTGTTGTTCAGTCGCACAGTCGAGTCCGACTCTTCGCGACCCCATGGATCATCTCCCGCCAGGCCCTCCTGTCTTCTGCCGTCCTCTGAAGTTGGCTCAATTTCATGTTCGTTGCATCGATGACACTGTCTAACCATCTCGCCTTCCTTATAGTCCAACTCTCACAGCCATACATGACTACTGGGAATACCATTGCTTTGACCATGCGGACTTTTGTTGGCAGGGTGATGTCTCTACTTTTTATCATGCTGTTTAGGTTCGCCATCGCTTTCCTCCCAAGGAGCAGGCGTCTTTTAATTTCATGGCTGCAGTCACAGTCTGCGGTGATTTGGGATCCCAGGAACGTGAAGTCTGTCACTACTTCCACGACTTCCCCTTCTATTTGCCAAGGAGTGATGGGACCGGATGCCATAATTACTTGGAAAGTTCTATCGCTCAGCATGCTATTTAGGAGTCAAAATAATGGTCTGCAGGGGAAAACTTGTAAAAACTTGTACAGCAGACCATGCAGTTTTAGGCGGTCTTGGAGGGGAAGGATCGGTGTAGACCTATTTCAAGATTTAGGATGGCCGATCGTTGCCAGAAAAATTGGGGGGGGGGGGAGCCCTGCTTCCCTATTGACTCTCCTGGACTTTTTGGTGAGCCTGGGTCAAATGCCTGTCTCCTCCCCTGAATAAGAACATAGGAACATAAGAGAAGCCAGTGTTGGATCAGGCCAATGGCCCATCCAGTCCAACACTCTGGGTCACACAGTAGCCAAAAATACCAGGTGCCATCAGGAGGTCCAGCAGTGTGGGGGCCAAGACACTAGAAGCTCTCCCACTGTTGCCCCCACACCCAAGCACCAAGACTACAGGGCATCACTTGCCCCAGCCTGAGAGTCCGTATCTATACCTTGTGGTTAAGAGCAAGGTAGGTGCAAGTGTTAATTAATATGAAAAGGAACACGTGGAAGACAGCAGCCATGACTTCCATCATCATAAAAAAACACATCTGGAGATGTTTTCTAGTCCTGGAAGCTGCAGTCTCGTTCCACTTCCAACATAAGAAGAAGAGAAGAGATTGAATTTCTACCCCGCCCTTCACTCGGTGTCTCAGAGCGGCTTACAATCTCCTTTCCCTTCCCCTCCCCACAACAGACACCCTGTGAGGTCGGGGGGGCTGAGAGAGCTCTTTCCAGGACTGCTCTTGAGAGAACAGCTCCAAGAGAACTGTGACTGAGCCAAGGTCACCCAGCAGCTGCATGTGGAGAAGTGGGGAATCAAACCCTGTTTTCCCAGATCAGAGCCCACACTCCTAACCACTACACCAAACTAGACTAAGGAACACAAACACAGGCAGAGATCTCTCAGAGTTCACTAAAGGCGGGAATGGCCAGACTAGCTCTTGGGCTATCAGTGTACCAGGACTGAACTCCCCGATCTCAGGCTATCAGCATCTGAGGACTGAACTCCCATGGCTGCTCCTGTGGGGAACTGCAGGTTTGTAAAAGGCACTCAGAATCCTGCATCCCAGTTCTTTATAGGGGATCTGTGATAACGTGGACAGCATTCATAGCAGAAAGGTCTGTTATGTACGCGGGCCGCCACCAGGGGCCCGCGGCACAGGCAAGAGCTTGGACCCAAGAACAATGGAAACTTCGGATCCTGGATCCCCCAGCCCCAACCAATAGCCACTTTGGCGGGACATTCAAGCTCTCCAATGGGAATGGGGGGTGCTGGGTGGATATGTATATAGTTGGCCCTGTCGGGCCGTTAGTCTTTGTCTGTGCTAAGTACAATAAACGTGTGCTAAGCATGTCGTCGTCCGAGTCCTCCGTGCGGCGAACCCAGTACTTTTCAAGGTCTACATGTGTGTAGAAGCCACAGAGGTAATAAAGCACACAGCCCTTGGATAAGCAATGACAGGGTCTCTCCCACTGAGTTTTAGTTATCCTGTTATGTCTGCATGTGAAAGATATTGGGAGAAAGGGTTTGCTCGTCATATATGTTTAATTCCTTGACCACCCTGCGTATGAGTTCCGTCCCACTTTCTTGAGTCATCTGCTCTGCGTGAGGGCTAGTTGCTGAGCGTGGTACAGTTGTAGCCTGCGTGACATTGCAGCCCAATATTGTATCCAGTTGACGTTCCTTAGTGGAAAGGGCCTGGTAAACGCAGGCAATCGGCCCGGCCCTTCAAAGGACAAGAGTGTTTTCAGTCCACACTGCCTCCTAACCTGCAGGCTCCATCCCAAGGACAAGATACGGCCAAGGTTGCCAGGAAACTGTGGCACTGGACTCACCTCCAAAGAGCAGGATTAACTGAGGAGTGTCAGAATCACCGTAGAACCCACGGCAGTCTCTTGTCTTGGCTACCAGCTTCAGGATGATGGTGGGAGTTCCAGGACCAGAAATTAAAAGAACCAGAATATCCTGGTCCAGAGTTATCAGCAATGGAAGCTAAGTTCCACCTTATGTTTCTTATTTTTAACTACTAAAGTAGATTAACGTTCTGTTCTCATGCATGTAAAGGGTGTGGGGGGGACTATCGTTTTACTACTTTAGAACATAAGAACATAAGAGACGCCACTGTTGGATCAGGCCAAAGGCCCATCCCGTCCAACACTCTGTCAGACAGTGGCCAGAAATACCAGGTGCCCTCAGGAGGTCCAGCAGTGGGGCCAGGACATCAGAAGCCCTCCCACTGTTGACCCCCCCCCCAAGCACCAAGAAGACAGAGCATCACTTGCCCCAGAGCCCCTATCTATACCTTTTGGCTAATAGCCACTGATGGACCTCTGCTCATGCTTGTAATTTTGATCTATTATGGGGAAATGTCGAGACAGTGTGCGACTGCAATAAAAAAGGCCAACGCTATGCTGGGGATTATTAGGAAGGGAACTGAAAACAAATCAGCCAGTATCGTCATGCCCCTGTATAAATCGATGGCGCGACCTCATTTGGAATACTGTGTGCAGTTCTGGTCACCACACCTCAAGAAGGATATTATAGCATTGGAAATAGTGCAGAAAAGGGCAACTAGGATGATAAAAGGGCTGGAAACCTTTCCCTGTGAAGAAAGGTTTAAGTGCTTGGAGCTCTTTAGCTTGGAAAAACAATGACTGAGGGATGACAAGAGTCTTGTCTTTTCTGTCTTTCTTTCTTTCACTTGCCCACCAAGTTGTCCAGGAGATGATAGAGGACGAAGGGAGACACGGGGGGGCTCTTGTGGAGTTCCGGAACCCACCACCTTCCACCCTCCCCAGTCTCTTCTGCAATGTCCTTTGCTCCGTCTCCCGGTTCCTTTGCGAGCATTCTGGCCTCTCTCCACTCTGCCCGCCCCCAGCTCACAGCACAGCCACTGACATCCCCCTGGCAAAAAAGCTGACGTTCCTGTCCTGGATTTTGTACTGGTAAACTTGCTGGAGTTCCCTCTCGGCCTTCTCCTCCCACGAGCTGCGACAGACAATCGTTAACTGCAGGACAGGGAGGAACGGGAGAAGAGGAAGACGATACATGAAATTAGAAACACCACAGCCAGCGCTCGGCAGTCAAAAAGACCCTGAGAGGTGCAAAAATACAGATGCATAGCATAAAAGCTTAGATGGCCCCTGAGCAGTGTTCCCTCTAAGCTGAGTTAGTGTGAGCTAGCTCACAGTTTTTTAGCCTCCAGCTCACACCTTTTTGTCTCGACTCAGGAAGGGACGGCTCCAGAGCAAACTGATTCATGCAGCAGCCAAATGGCTCACTCACAACTTTAATGCCAGCGGCTCACAAAGTAGATTTTTTGCTCACAAGCAGTGTTCCCTCTAAGCTGAGTTAGTGTGAGCTAGCTCACAGTTTTTTAGCCTCCAGCTCACACCTTTTTGTCTCGACTCAGGAAGGGACGGCTCCAGAGCAAACTGATTCATGCAGCAGCCAAATGGCTCACTCACAACTTTAATGCCAGCGGCTCACAAAGTAGATTTTTTGCTCACAAGCAGTGTTCCCTCTAAGCTGAGTTAGTGTGAGCTAGCTCACAGTTTTTTAGCCTCCAGCTCACACCTTTTTGTCTCGACTCAGGAAGGGACGGCTCCAGAGCAAACTGATTCATGCAGCAGCCAAATGGCTCACTCACAACTTTAATGCCAGCGGCTCACAAAGTAGATTTTTTGCTCACAAGCAGTGTTCCCTCTAAGCTGAGTTAGTGTGAGCTAGCTCACAGTTTTTTAGCCTCCAGCTCACACCTTTTTGTCTCGACTCAGGAAGGGACGGCTCCAGAGCAAACTGATTCATGCAGCAGCCAAATGGCTCACTCACAACTTTAATGCCAGCGGCTCACAAAGTAGATTTTTTGCTCACAAGCAGTGTTCCCTCTAAGCTGAGTTAGTGTGAGCTAGCTCACAGTTTTTTAGCCTCCAGCTCACACCTTTTTGTCTCGACTCAGGGAGGAGGGGGACTCCAGAGCAAACGAATTAATGCAGGAGCCAAACCGCTCGCTCACAACTTTAATGCCGGTAGCTCACAAAGCAGAATTTTTGCCCACAAGACTCCACCGCGTAGAGGAACACTGCCCCTGAGCCAGATGGCCCTGGCTGGCCTGATTTCATCAGATCGTGGGAGCTAAGCAGCGTCGGCCCTGTTCAGTGTTTGTTTGGGAGACCACCAAGGAAGCCCCGGGTCGCTCTGCAGAGGCAGGCAAATGGCAAGCCACCTCTGAGCGTTTCTTGCCTTGAAAACACTACAGCAGCAGGGGTGTCGAACTCAGGGGTGTTATGAGAGCCGGATCTGACATAAATGAGACCTTGTTGGGCCGGGCCAGGTGTGTCATAAAAAGTAATGCCAGGTAGAGCGGAGATATAGACTTTATAAAGGACACAAACACAAAGGGTTAGTTTTTTTAAAACTTAAAATAAAAACATGCTTAAAACATTAGCTCTGTCAGCTGCAAACCTACTTTTGGTTTATTGACATTCACCACAGAAATCTCATGCTCAGAGTTTAGAAGACGAGAAGAGATTGGATTTATACCCTGCCCTTCACTACCCAAAGGAGTCTCAGACCGTCCTACAAACTCCTTTCCCTTCCCCTCCACACAACAGACACCCTGTGAGGCAGGCGGGCCTGAGAGAGCTCTGACAGAAACTGCTCTTTTTTCAAGGACAGCTCTTATCAAAACTACGGGTTGCCCAAGGTCATCCAGCCAGGTGCGAGTGGAGGAGTGGGGAATCAAGCCCGGTTCTCCCAGATTAGAGTCCACGCACTTAACCACTGCACCAAACTAGCTCTCGGAAGAGACTTGGATTTATGCCCGCCCTTCACTACCCAAAGGAGTCTCAGAGCGGCTTACAAACTCCTTTCCCTTCCCCTCCCCACAACAGTCACCCGGTGAGGCGGGTGGGGCTGAGAGAGCTCTGGCAGAAACGGCTCTTTTTCAAGGACAGCTCTTATCAGAACTACGGCTTGCCCAAGGCCATCCAGCCAGGTGCAAGTGGAGGAGTGGGGAATCAAACCCGGTTCTCCCAGATTAGACTCCACACATTTAACCACTACACCAAACTGGCCCAGATTAAAATGTGAAATGGCTCAGTGATTAAGAGAGTCTGGCGAAGCAAGCTATGATGCAGCAGCAGCAGCACTGGAAGCAGGAGACGGCCAGTTCCACTGCAGGCCTGATGGAGGCCCTCCGGGGGGCCTCATCCGGCCCCCAGGCCACATGTTTGACACCCCTGCTCTTGGTCCTTCAAGGTCAGTATCATCTACTCAAACTGCAGCAGCTCTCCAGTATCTCAAGCAATGTGAGCAAAACATTCTACTGTGTGCGCTTCTGGCATGAAAATTGTGAGCAAGCGATTGGGCTGCTGCATCAATCAGTTTGCTCTGGAGCCCTCCTCCCTGAGCCGAGACAAAAATGTGTGAGCCAGAGGCTAAAAAACTGTGAGCTGGCTCACACGAACTCAACTTGGAGGCAACACCGGTCTCAGGCAGAGATGCTAGCGCCTTAGAGACCAACAAGATTCTCAGGGTGGGTTGATATGTCGACAGCCGCAAGGATAGTATATGCCAAATATTGGGAAATAATGGAAATACCAACGAAACAAGAGTACGTGAACATGCTATTTGAAACAGCGGAAGATGACAAACTGACCCTTGAGATGAGAGCCGGCACGGAATGGACTTTTCAAAAAACTTGGAAGAGATTCTACGATCGGTACAATCAGGGGTCATTTCGTAGAAAAAGAGGTGCAAGAGCTCATTAGCATAACTCATTAGCATAACTTATTTACATATGCCACACCCCCTGACATCACCGGAAGTGTGTCAGAAGGCAATACCCACCGCTCAGGCTCCACTGGACTCGCAGAGGAGGGAGAGCTTGTACCTGAATAAAACTTGGTCTTAAAGGTGCCACTGGACTGTTTTCGATTGCTAGCTATGGAGGAGGGATGCGCAGACCTGCCCTCACAG